ATATATATATATATATAAATTTCATGCATATTTTAATGTATGTATTTTACTTTACTTATCTTTTAAAAATTGCATTATTATTACTAACGGCAATTCTTAGCAATCACATAGACTTTTTCCAGGATGATCTGTCCTCAACCTGGCCTTTCAATCTCACAATGGTACAGTACATCCATTGCTGTTGAAACTGAGTCCATCCATTCACCTAGTTGCTGGTTGTCATCTTCTCTTTTTCCCACCTTTCCCATCGTTACGGAATTCTCAAGGGCTATGGGTCTTCACATAATATGTCCAAAGTATGTTAATTTGAGGATGGTTATTTGTGCCTCGAGCAAGAACCCTGGATTGATCTGTTCTTTGATCCATTTGGTCCTTCCTCCCTCAAAACAAACTTCCTGGACACACCTATGATGATGGACAGCCATCTGCCATATCTCAACATGGGATAGCATCCAGAACATTGTCTCCAAGAATGACCTTTAGCATTTGGGCAAGATCGTAACAGGTACAGTTGTTATGTCAAATATTGTAATTTCTAGTCACAAAGGTCTTTTATAAGTTAATAACAGCATATTAAACTGGGACTAAGAAAGAACTGAGATCCAGTAAAACTGGTATAGAATTGGCATAATGTGATAAAGTTCAGTTCCTGTTACGTATGCTCATTTACATATATGCATGCATATTTCATACAAGTAAATTGATGACACACGTTCCTACAGAATCCTGTGACATTAAAGTTTGTTTAAAATAAATCTCATTAACTGTAAAGACCACAAATGATCTGAAAAGCAGTTGTTTATTGCAGAACTAAAGCAAAACACACTTCAAAAGAATTAGTATCTTACATAAGAAAAAACACTTAGCATTTGTAAGGAGTCAACTAATAAAGATTGAAAAAGAGAAAGGGATGATCCAGAAAAGAATATGGAACAACTCTTGAAGGAAGGAATTCAGGGGGAATAAGACTGGATTCACAGTGAAAACCTAAGAAAAAGACATACAGAAAGAGGAAATTGACTTCCAGACCAACTATAGGTGCCCTGTTTGGGGGAGGGCAAATGGTGTAAACTGACTATGTACTTGCAGCCAACGTTGGGAGGTAGGAAGGGGGATACAAGTACAAAAGTCCAGTATGTATGTTCTGATGTCATTTCTGCATCATCACAGTATCAGACTAATCAGAAAAAAAATATGCAAAACACACCTGTCCTTGCCTCACTGTCTTGGGTGTGATGGAAGTTGGCTTAGTTCATTTAACAAAAGGAAGAGATGGGATGAAAGAAAAGGTGGGTGGCTAATTGCACAGCTGAACAGCAAGGGCAAGGATGCTTCCTGACTGGCAAGAATCTTTCCTCCTCTCCAAATTATAGTACTAATGAAGACATTTCTCTCTCTTCATTTGGAAGTTAAAGCAAATTAAACAAAAAACAAACCAAGTCCTTAGTTCAGGATGGCTCATTGAGGAAATTACTGGTAAGGTGTCAGGCTGAAAGAAAAGGAGAAACCTGCTTTTCCTTCTTTCTAGGCTCAGAAAAGGGGAAATACTGAGATTCTTTAGCATAAGAATTTTTCAAGGCTTATCCTAGACAATAGCTTTAATGAGGCAATTGGATTTGGCAGCATCAGCAGGATGAGATACATTCCAATAGTGGATTGTCAGATTATTCCATTGTTTCATGATTTAGTCTATTTTTTTTTCCTAATTCGATGTCAGGAAGATAGAGGAGAGAGAGAGAGAACTAATTTGTAACCTATATTTCCCTTTTGACTTAAAAAGGAAAGTTAAAACCAGCATAGATTGTACTAGGTGATTATTTCTCCAACAATGCTTCCAGAGAGGAATGGAAACATTAAAACAACGGACCCCACCAAGGATGCTTGTAGAAGCTCGCATACTGTACATGTGTCCTTTTCCTTGAAATATGTCTTAAGTTTCATTAATAGAATGGCTTCTCCTGTGCCTCAACTAAAATGGAGCCCTTCCTTTCATGTGCAGGCTATCTTTAAGTTTCCAGGTCAGCTTCAAGATTAGTCCATTTTCATTCATTCATTCATTTATAAGTCTTGTATGCCACCCTTATAGTGAATGGGCAGGCAGGCTCCTATCTCCACATTCAATGTTGCAGCCTGTCTGCCAGCCACTCATACCAGACAGCAAGCTGCCAGCTCAGATATTTGAATATACATCTTCTGCATCTCAAGCAGAAGTACTGTATGTGCGTGTTGACACATATGAAACAATCAGCTTCCCCAAGCCTCTCCCTTTCTGCTAGAAAGGAAAATTGATGTCTCTAAACCTTTTTCCCCCATACTGAACTTTAAAATTTCTGAAGAAGATATAATGGTAAGTTAAGAGCACTGAAAACCATTGAGAGATCCAGGAGAATCCCCATCCTATCCTTTTGCCAGCAATGATCATGCTTTGATGCAAATTCAGATATAAATTACAATTGAGGAAACTCTGGAAAATCGATTTCATCCAAAGAGCATATGGATTCGATCAGTCACCATGTACTAGAGCAGCCTACCCAGGAAGAGATGATTGCTACTGGTATATAATTCAGTTTTTCAAACCCCAATTATGGATTTTTTGTTCTATGGAAGACTTTCTAGCCTCCTGGATCCACCTGAAGACCCCTTCCCTTATTTTGCTAGAGCCAGGCTGGGTTGAAAAAGAGTGACTGGCCATGACGGGCCAGCTTGGATCCTAACATGATCTCTCTACCACTGATTAATATGGGAGATGATTCACCTAATGTATGATTTTGTAGGGATTCTTTGTGCCCAAAGATTACTGCACTAGTCCTGTGCAAAACAAGAACACCAATTAGTTAAAAAAAAATTAAGTTGGGATACTTTTAAACTCATGAAGTAATATCTCAGGGGTCTGAAACTACAAGATCTTCAATGAAAAATTATTGTAGTCTATTAATTTTGATATCACTCAAAAACAGGATATATATAACTTTCCTCTTTGGCAGAATGGGAATGACAGGAAAATCTTTACTTAGTAAAGACAGTCTTCTGGTTCATCCAACATTTTATGAATAGAGGGCAGTGTGTAGGAATCTTTAAAATGAATGCTGTCTTTTTTTCTCTTTTCCTAAAAAGCTTCATTTCCCCTCATTTTTTAAGACAGTCTTCCTAAGACAAGGCTGTATGGAGTGCAGTGCTGGTATCCCTCACTCTCAGCACCTTGTACAAGAGGCTCTGGAAGAGGCAAAGGGATTATTCCAAATATGACACCACATCCCGGATGCTATAGGATACTTCAAAACATCTACTCTGTAATACAAACAGGGCATAATAAAAGTTGCATATGGTTCCCTGAAATATTCTTAACCCAATCTGCAGCTTATGTAGGTGGAGATATAAAAATGTCAGAGCAAGGCTAAACTAGATGTTAACAGTTTTCTAAATAAATAATAAATGAGAAACAATTTTAGAATCTTCATTTAACTCCTCTCCCTAGACCTTATTAAAACAACTAGAAGAACTGCATGTAGTTTTGTATTTCAGGGATAGGCAGTCCTCATACTGTGGCCAAAATTAATAACAACCAGGAGCCAAAGGATTTCTTGCAGCCACACTCTTCTTCAGCGCTTGGATTTGGTTGGTTTCTTAGGTCGGGGAGTGGATGATTTCGAATGAGGAGACGCTGAGGCTTTGTCAGCTTTCTTACGAGGAGTTTCTGCAACAGAAAATAATTGGAAGTGTTACAGAATCCTCATAACAGGGATAAAAAAGATCGGATAGCCCATAGTGGTCCCTCTCTGCAGAATTCTTCATGAGCTGTAAAAGTGCACAATCACACTCCAGAATGCACACTCACACTCGAAAAAGGTTAAAAAAGGTCAATACCAAAAAGGAGGCAGAACCAGGGCACACCATTGTTGGTGAAGGGAAGGAATCTTTATTCTCCTCCTCCACTCAAGTTTCTCAACAGTTTTCTCTCCACAGCCCGATTGGGAGCAGGAAGATGGTCAGGCTCCTGGGGCTTTGTGGGCTGCAGAAAAAGAAGCCAAGAGCTACAATATTTCTATTATTATTGTTGTTGTTATTTCGGTAGGAGCTTAGACTGAGAAGCAGTGGCTTCCCAAGGCTCTGGAATATATTCTATAGGAGAGATGAGATGTAAAGCTGAGAATTCTAGCCACCTTGCTATAATATGCTTCCCCCATACTTTAATAATCTGAGTGTGTCATGAGCTACCCTTCAAAAAAGTAACAGCCAGCAGCCTGACAAAACTGAATTTGACTAAATTTAAATTACATTATATTTTAATATATTGAAATTAAACAACACTTTATTCTCCATGTAGAATAATTTAATGAGGGGGCGCTCTAGGACCACATTGAAGTCTTTGGAAGATCACAGGAAACCATGGACTCAGGTTTTGCATGTTATGTTCCCAAATGATACACATAAAGTTAAAACATTTCTGTCCCCAGAATTTTCCCTGAACTTGGGTATCTCTTTGGTAGCTGCTAAAAATCACCTCTGCTCTTACGTTCCCATAACATGATGGCTTTCGATTTTTCTGAAATACTCATTTTCAACTAGTTAGATTAAGAAGATTGGATGGTGTTTGAAAGTAGCCTTATCTTACTGATCTTATTTCAAAATCCAAGGATTCTGTCACATGGAGGTAACATAACTCTTCCTAGTAGCATCACACAATTTTCAGGAATAATGCTGAAATGTCTGTCCTTATTAGAAATGCATTTGTAACTTTTGACAATAATTATATATAACTCAAGGTAACCTTCTGCCTTTCCCAGCAAATAAGTCACTGTAAGAGCTGGTGGGTGTAAGCCCTTTATTGATAGTGCCCTACCCAAAGATTTAGTTTGTCTTCATGAAGAAGACAGTGTATGATTTGCATAAAGCTTTTTATGTACCCAATACATCTTTATTCCTTTCTCCATATATTAGGTAACAATTACAAATAATATCTGACAGTACCTGACAACTAAATGAAATGGACTGAAGGTATTATTCTAAATTGGAGCATATTCCTTGGGAGGGAGAGGTCAAAAGCATCTTGTGGAATGAACATACCTCTTTGGTTTTTGCTGAATAACATGGTTATTATTGGTGTTGGTATAAAACATGAATGGTGAAGAGAAAACACCAGCCTCCTTAGAAGTAAGCCTCATCCCCAGAATATAAGTACTTCCAGACTCACTGCCTGAAAACTTAAGGCTGTGAGGGGGGAAGAAAAAGAGAGCACAAGCCAAGGACAAAAAAAAGCAGAAGATGGAAGAAATGTAGCTGCTGGTCTTCTCTGTTCAGGCCTGTAACATTACTCCAACACTTCAAAGAAGCATTATTTGATGGAGAACATACTAACGCTAGATTCACTTATCACTCTAATCCATAACATGCTTTTCATTTTACCTTTCCCATAATGTTGTGTGAATCAGTCATTGTTACTGTAAGCCATGATACAGAGTTTTGTACCTTGTGTGATTCTAATTACTATTATTTAACAAACCATGGTTGAAATAAACTGTGTAATATATCCAAAAAGATAGAGTCAAACAAAAAAAAATTTATGGATATTCTGGTATTGGCTTTTAGAACTATTTCATGCAACCTATCTCATTTCAATCCCAGTTCTATGATATATACATCACGAAAGTATATACAATTGCAATTATGTTATCACAGTAACAGATTATGGCCTTCTTCAAGCTGGTCCCCTCCAGATGTATTTGACCACAAACCTCAGAATTCCTAACCACGTTGTCTGAAGGTCTAAAATAGTAATGTGTGAAATGGCCCCTTTGTCTGCATTTCTTTTAGAAATTTAAAATTCCATCTTTGAAGTTTTAGCCATACCTGGCTCAGATTGTTCTGCTTTTTTAACAGAATCTTTAAACTCTGGTTCCTCATCCTCCAGATCCTGGAGTTTTTTCAGAGCTTCCTCCAACTCCTCATGAAGGGCTTCTGATTTTTCCTCAGCTTGTTGGGCTCGTTTCTCAGCTTCTCTAAAAGAAAAGAAGCCAGGGTAGCATGGAGTTAAGATACCAGGTATAAAGGCCAACCAGGCAAAATGAACGGATACCCAATTAAAATGAGAGGCATCAAGGGCCAGCCCATGACTTTCTTGGTCTGAGGAATGGCCAAACAAGGCATGCACACATCCTTAAGCATGGATTTGCCATGTGGATGTGAATAATGGAATCTGCTGTCAGGATTTTCATTCTCATGGGAAAGGATTCATCCCATTATCTTTACAACAATAACAAATAATATTTTGG